CCTCTAAGGGATAATACACCCCGAGACAAAAGTTTTGACATGCGGGGGACTTCCAACTAGCCTACAGTACCGCGGAGAAGCGGAGAGGGCAGAAGTGTCATTTTACATGGCCAGCGTGGCGGAGTAGTTAATTTCCGGGAATAAATCTATACTATTATAAAGTTCCCGGCGGAGAGCCTGTGCTAGGAGTCTAAAGGGGAGGAGGGCTTGCCATCGCCGACACATGTCAACTGACGTCTGTGTGGCGAACTTTTGTCCTGCCGCAGTAAGTAGCTTAATAACCCCTATAACCCAGATAGTAATCCTAATTATTAACCTACCAAGTCCACACGACCCTTCAAGTAGAGTCATACTCGACCTCGCTTTGCTGCCACGGGCGCCGCCCAAGTGGAGAATAGGAACTTACCTTCCAGGCGGACAGGATTGCAAAAACCTCTCTCAATACTGACCGCTCCTCCCTAACCCAGAGGGTCCAAGTACCCAATGATTAGGTATTTGGGTTTTGGGTAGTAGCAATTTTAGTACAGGTTTTGGGTATGTATATGATTGTTAGGTACTTGGACCCTTAGGGTAGTATTGAACACCCGCCCTATTCCCTGATGTATGCGATGTCTTCAATGTATGGCTGTCATGGGGGGAAGTTGAATATTTACAGCGGGTGGGGGGGGTGTTTGATGTCAGGAGGCAGGGGTTACCATCGACCCTGGCATGCCGGCATGCGTAGCACTCTTTGGGACTGGTAGAAGAAGGGTCCCTTTAAAAGGGGTTATGGGTTAGTAGGCATAATGGAAAATAAAATGGAAACTTCTATCGTATATTGAGGTTATATGAGCAGCTACCTGAATTATTAGTAATTGGGGGGGGGCCTATCGCTTTACAGGGTTTTCGCACACTGCCTGTCATCCACTTCGGGGGTGTCTCTTTTGGGGGGCGCCCTATCGCTTTACTAGGGTTTTGCTCATGCCCCTGGACTTTATCTCTGCATGCTATTGGCTCCTACACGATAATAAAGGCGGTCACTCATATAGGGTGTAGGGTGTTGGGGTATTGAATACTCGTATCACTGTTTGCATTCATGAGACATGCTTAATGATACTGAAGTGGCCATTGCTACCATGGGTTTTTGACAGCTACACAAGCAGACCACGCTTGCTTGCTAACACATCTTATCCGTATTGTTGCTCTAGGTCATGATTACCAGTGTTTCTGCTCGGTTTGATTGCATGCGTAGGTAACGTTTAGATATCAACAGGCATACAGGGTAGCAAGCACGCAAAAAGTCAGAGCAGAGATCTTACCTCGCATGTTAACAGCAGTCCTTTACATGCATAATGTCCGTACATGGAATCGAGAACACAGCATCTCCACCATAATAGTCGATATCACACGTTGGCCATCAAAGCCGACATAATCGTCATCATTATTTCATACTGTCATAGAAAGCATCATCATCATCATCATCGTCATGATCATTCACCAATGATCAGTCCGAACCCTCATCATCATGTAAGCCCTGTGGGCCTTTGAGGCTCGGCTCCGGCGAAGTCACGCGCAGCTGTAGCACGTGGGTCACCCGCATGAGCCTGAAATTTTGTACTGCCACGGCTTGGGCTTGGGAGTCGGGGCTTTAGGTTGGAGCAAGAACCTGAGGTGTTAAGAATAAAAGCTACGTAATTAGGTGCGTTCTGAGGAAGTAAGATGAAGGGGTGGTGCTTCAAAGCTGATCGTGGAACGAATCCTTTTCAGGTGATCTTTTCACTAAGCATCCTGGCATGTTGCAAATAGGGGAAGGGGTCAGACAGCCAGTATTTTGCAGAGTGCAGGTTGAGCATCAACATCTTTTTGGGTCAATGCTAAGTCTGCTAAGTGAAGCTGGCCATTTATATCCAGGTGGTATGCTTCTTCAAGCATCAAAGAACCCGAGCAGTCGGATGCGGATGCCCGCACACATATTTGGCCATGGTGTTGGGGTAGGAGGTTTAACTGACTGCGCAGCTGGCAATGTGGCCCTGCTGTGCGGAACCTATGACAGACGGTTCACGCCCCCATGTGCCTATATATCTATACATATATATATACATATATATATTTACAAGTGTGTATCCAAACACATGCTACATCACCGCTGAATGCTTGGCGGAAGGAGTTCGTTCGGCTGTTGCTTTCATGGCCTCTTGAGCCTCCTCGATTTGCCTTTGCTCGCCCATGTTGGCCTTGAACATACAAATGCACAAGGTTTAGGGTTTAGGGTTTGCAAACATCCTGTATTATCTCCTCCTGCGCCCTACTAAGCTATTGCCTAAAGAAAGCCCGTTTGTTGGGTACTAGGATTAGCATTAAAGGCTAAGTGTGGCCATATTCGACTATATACGTAAATATCGGAATTTCACATCATGCCCCTACACAATCCTGACCGGCGACCCGCAAAGACCCGTTGCAGCCTCTATATATATATATGCATATATACTATATGTGTAAACATATTATATAGATTTTTTTGTATATATATCCCCAGGGTCCCTAAAAACCCCATTATGAGCAACCTCCCCCCCCCCCAATACCAACTTACACCCTAAACCCTGAACCCTAAACCCTAAACCCTGAGCCCTAAATCCTAAACCCAAAACCTAAACCCTAAACCCCAAGCCATTGGCCGCCGGTGCCGGGTGACATGGGCACCCCGTCATGCCGACCCCAAAGCTCGAGCTGGGAGTCCTCATTCCTGAGGGTTTAGGGTTTAGGGTTTTGAGTTTAGGGTCTAGAGTTTAGG